CTGGCGCAATATGGTTCATGGGGTCACGAAGAGTCGGACACGACTTAACGACTGAACAACAACAACAACAACAACAAAGCATGCAGATATTCTTAGAGATAAATAAGTTATTCTGTTGGATTAGGGCATCCATGGGGTTGGGGTGGGGGGTAGAAGAGATTAAATATATTGCAACCACAATTAAAAGTCTTCCCCGTGTGTCTGTACATGCAGCAGTGCAATGGAGCTCGTATCATGATCGCACAAGACACATTTAATCATTTGGATGTCATTTTCGCAAACTGTGGACACTTCTGTTTGCCAGTCCCTTTCATGTCCCTTACATAATCCCCATCCCCAATGCGCAGAACAGTTTTGCAGTTTAAATTCTATCCAGATTGTTAAATATGCAAGGCTAAAGAATAAGTTTAAAAAGTACATGTGTAGGTTAATTCTTTTCATATTAAGCAAATCATTTAAAGCGGGCAAGGGAGGCAAAATGAAAAGCTGAACCACTATTTAACTTGCTAAGATGTGTGTAATGAAATGCAAGCTGCAAACTTGAAATGCTAATACAGATCAACTTTTGTCTATCATATACAGCTTAGAGAAGAACATTCTTTATATGGCCAGAAGCACTCTCTTCATTATGAATGGACACATTTTAGGACTGTACCTGAGATACATACCTTTGCAGTATTTCCTAGGCTCTTCTTTGAAGAAATATACAGCAGAATTATCCACTATGTGCATATACTGGAGGTGTTTGCTGGAGTATCCAGATTGGAGGGGAAGGATGTGAACAAAAACCTATTTCGGGGGCACTTGCATTGAGCAAAATTACACTTGAGCAGTGTTCCACTTCCAACCACAGATGTGTCTCCATCCATTTCCTGCTGCTGTTCTTGAGATATCTCAAGTTATCTGATGGGAAAACTAGAAACTTAATTAAAAATAGAGTGTTCTGTATTTTTTAATGTTACAGTTTCTTTTCTAAGCGCTCTGACCACCTTTCTTCTCTCATACCTTTCCTCGCCTATAGGGCCAAGCTGATCTGCTCAAGCACTCCAAGGCTGAAGCACTAGATACACTATGGCAGATCCACAACGCAGCACAGTCGTGTGGCATTGGACGGAATGGAGCTGCCTCTCCTGACCTCTTCCGCAGTCGAGCTGTTCTTGACCCCATCCCAGAAGCTGAAGGAGCCTGCGAGCCAGGATCTTCCTGACTGGCAATGGCTAAGACTGTGGGAAGCAGTAGGATTTGTGGACACAATGGTTGCCATATAGGGACTTAGACAATGTGGCAGGTGCTTGTTTTTAAAGAGACATGGAGTCTCCATGTCTTCAACCCTGGGAAGGCAAATGAGAAAATGTCAATCAATTTGCAAGTATTTATGTGTATAATAACAAGTAGGGCTCCCTTGTTGCAAGATAAACAACCACCCCAAAGAGAAAATTTTAGGTGGCAGAAGGTATGGCTTTTACCTGGGAAATATAGCCTAAGTGAAAACTCTCTTGATCAAGCCCCACTGAAATGAACAGAAGTTTCACTGTGCATTTCAGCAGAGTTTCAGTAGCCGATAGCTAACAAAAACAGATCTCCCAGTGCTCTGGGCCAGCAAGCAAGCCCGATCCGGAGACTTTGAAGGGAGTCTGGGATGTAGCAACTGACCTGTTCTGGAATTCCTTGGTTGAGTCTCCTAGCAAGAACTGGGAGGTGATAGACTCTGGTGGTACTGCCCAAGTTGAATTCCTATCTGATATTGCTCAGAGGTTCTTGGCTGAAGATCTATTACAAACATGAACCTTACTGGTTGTGAATTGTTGTAGCTCCTGTAATGAGTGAGAGAAGACTGCTGTTTGGATCTTCTTGAGATGGCGGTGTTAACAACTTCTCTTTCTCTTTCACCCCTCCCTCCCTGACGTCTTTCTCATCTGTAGCTTTCCTTAGAGCAGTTTAGTAGCAGAAGTATGAGTGGATCCAAATGATGTTGGGCTACATCTCCCACAATCCATGAACACTGGCCACAGTGGCTGAGGATAATGGAAATGAAGTCGAACAATATCTGAGAGATGCAAGATAGAGAACCACTGGATTAAAAGGAAGGTGTTTATGTTTTCCTTGTTACCTTCCTGCAGTGCTGAAATGAAGGGTGTGGGGTGGATGGTGAAGAACTCTTAAGATTTCCTAGCTGGAATTTGGTTATTCTTCTAACTGGAAGTTTTCATAAATTCTGTGGTGTCAGTTATAGGGTTGCCATCTCTGTTTCCTCTCAAAAAACAAAAAAAGGGGGAGGGAGTGAGGGAGCCAGACTGAAAAAAATTAACAGTTAATCTTCCAAAGATTTATGTTGATCATAAATCAGTATAAAGATAAAAAGATAAAACCCAAATTTTAAACATCAGACCACTGTTTCTTCAACTGTATTCTCATTGCATTCACAACATGTTCTGTAGGAAGCTCAATTCAAAGATGTTGATGCTTAACATTATCTCGAGGAATTATCCACAACTCTTCAAATTTAGATTTTTTCAAGGTATCCCTCAAAATTTGGAATCGTAGAGATGAAAATTGTGCTATGCTCTGCCTTTGTGCAAAGCTGGGCTTTGGTTCTGTCTCTTGGTCTCTGTTTCACTTTTTTATTTGGGGCTTGGGAAGGGGAGGCAAGGTTGCAATCCTGCTGCTGGACCCTGCTTTTTTCCTGCCTACTTTAGAGGACTTACTCTGGAATTGATGGGCTGGATTTTGTTGACAATAAAGCCTGAGCTTCTCTTTTGGTTGTTCTGTTCCTTGTACCCTCCTTGATGTTAGAACCTTGTACTAACCCAACAGAATCAAACAAGTTTGTACCTGTTAAGAATAGCCACTGCGTGGCTCCTAGACAAGGAATTTTAAGAACAATATTTCTGTGTTATACATCCAGGTATATCGGTTAAGCACCTGCACAGAGCCCATGTTGGAACCTTCTAGAACAGAAGACTTTTGGTCAGAACCATCATCTAGTGCACGTGTGCAGGACAAGTCCTACCTTTTCCCTCAGTTCTCTTTCAGCTTCTGAGCGAGCAGCATTGGGAACATGCTCTGTCAGGCAGATTTCTTCACTTTTTGTTATGCATTTCCTTATACTTTAAAAATCTACAGTGAAGCACAAACAACACTAAACAACACTTCTTGAGATGCTTGGAATCAAGAATTATGGAGGCTACTCGTAAAATTGAGCATTAAATTGCTGCCCTAAGATGGTAGCTCTCGTTGCCTTTGTTGTTTGGGAGGAGAGACATTTTAGATGTTTGCCCTCATTGCCAACAACTCACCAAATAGGAAAGGCAGAACAGATCTTCCCATCTTTGGGCCTTATTGTGAAACCACTCCAGTCTGTTACATCAATTTCAGAAATATGTTCCATCCTCAGTGAAGAGGCAGTTCTATTCCATTCAGTGCCATCTAACCTAGTGGTAGCCATAATACCAGTGATAATCCATGCAGACATATATTTGGCAGTGCTATGCTACACTCATGAGATTCTTGTCTCAACCCCAAGATCTGGAATTCTACCCTGTGAATCAGAAATAGAAACAGTGTCTTTGATTCCAGAGTGATAGGTACAGACCCTTCTTTGGGCATACATTTGATATCTCATGTACCTCCTTGGAAGGACTTAATAGACCAATGAATGCATTTCACAATCTTTTCTGAGTCCACCATAGAATTCCTAACAACATTAATGTGAAATTACTCGCCATGGTGTTCCATTCCAACCCTTCAGAGGAAGAAAGGAAATTACTATGAAAAGGCATTATAGAACCTGTAAAAAGTCATCCTCCTGCTCTGGGATTCTTTTCTCAGAATTTTATATTCCCTTCTCTGTCTTCTTTTGGACCTTCAGAAGGACAACAACTGTTCACAAACCATAACATTCTATATAAAGCACTTCTTCCCTTCACTTCTGGAAAGGTTAGCCAGAGCTACTACCAACACTCTTTTGCTGAATTGCTTCCAGACTGACCTCAGTCTTCTGTATTTGTGCCCTATAGAAAGTACCACAGGTTAAACTTTTATATGGCTCAGCCTGAAGATCTTCCAAAACATTTCTTTCATGTTTCTTTCAGAGATCTGGAATCCTCAGATCCTTCTCACCACACTGTATTTCATCCAGTGCTCTCTCTTTTGATGGGTGCCAAAACAAAATCTTCTTTTATCTGAGTGATTACAAGTGCCTCCTGGACAAGTTGGGTACCTCATTGTAATGACATCGAAGTTCACAAGTGACGTCTGAACATTCCATACAATATCGAACATTCTGCACAATTTAGCTACATGAGATTTCTTCCCATGCTCAAAGTGCTTTGGGCCATCAAACCAAATGGTTGCTTCACCAGACAGTAATTCTCAGTATTTTCTCCATTTGAGGGATTGACTTGTTGGCATCCAGCTAAAATACTCACTACAGTTTTGTATCAAGTCCAATTATGCTGTTGTCTTGGAAGGGGATGTACTCTGTTTCTTCCCCACTGGGACAAATCTCTAGTTACATACCTTCCCATCATTCATCATCAGAAGAGCTCTCTAGAGACTATGTCATTGCTCTTTATCCTTCTGTTGTGGCCAAAATGATCATGACTAAGTCGTTCAAAACTTAGCTGCAGTTATCCTTTAGATGCTTTTTTTGTTTTGTTTTTTTGGCCTCCTCTAAGCAATTCCTAGGGGACTTCATAACATTTACACAGGTAAATCCATCTCAGTAGGCATCAAAGGACATTCTATGAAAGCTACTGCTTAATTTAGGAGCCTTTCACTGCTGGAGGCTTGTGAGACAGCTACCTAGTCCCAAACCTCAACTTTCATCAGCCATTATTGTGTAGACACCTGGGAAGGTCAGGTGATTCCTTTTGATATGCTGTGCTGCCCTATACCCACTCTGAGGATTTGCCACTTTGCCTTGGTGAATGAGCTCGCTAATAGTCTGTATGTGTGAAGAGTCCTGACATGAACTCTATGCAAATGCATCACTTGTGTATGAATGAACAGAGGGCTACTGAAAGAACCACTTAAAAACATAGGTTTGGATAAGCAGCCTGTTCTTTTGTAAAAAGCTAAATTTAGTGCCAGCATTTCTGGGCTGAAAAAATCTGGATGTCCATTAGATGGAAATAGATCCAGAAAATAATGTTTTGCTACCATCTAGTGGTTAACTGGATTTTTCAGCCTATATAAGGTAGTCCTAGCTAAAATTCTCAAATGTTTTTACTTCAACCTGGTGCCCCCAGATGTTTTAGATATTAACAGCTCCTATCAGTCACAATCTATTTGGCCCATACTTGGGGTCATGTAATTGTAGTCTAGAGTGCCAGGTTAGAGATAATTGAACTAAATATACACAATAAGGACAAACTACACTAGAATTAAAAACATATTTGTAGCTAATATGCAGGGTTTTTTAAATAGCATCTGCTGATAATTATTGGAATCAGGACAAAAGTTTAACCTTTTCTTTTGTGCTGCAGTGGTGAGGGAACCCCCCTTTCCAGAGTACTGTTTGTCCTTCGGTTGGGCCAATTGAGAATTTCCCTTTAAAAGATCTGGTAGTTTTAGAAAAAGGATTTTTTTTTCCCCGGCTGCAGCAAGAGAAGAAAGGATTACATTCTCCTTATTAGCATATGCATGTGTACATACTTGATCTGATACCATTAACAGCTAGATTGAGGGCTCACAGTCCTAACCAAATACTTCCTATGGTAAAGTTGATGTACCTGGGCTGTAAACATCTGGATGACCACCTCATGGTAGCAAAGATGCACAAAAGACTCTAAAATATACAGAAAACTGTTGGTGCCCTCTGGAGTTTCACAGCCCATATTTATAGCCCTATCCTCTAGCAAATTACTCCTTAATGATTTTATATCTGATAAGAAAATAAATGGAAGGGATGCTGAGGTTGATTACAAGTTGGTTCCCCTGTAAGATAACACAGTGAAAGCCACATCTGAGATACTTGGGTTATTGGGCAGATTATCTTAATAAAGCAGTGAGAGATTCCTATTGATGAGCCAAATATTAAGCAGGACTACCATGACTGCATTTCAAAAAACCAAATGACCATTGGCTTGAAGCAACATTTTCTGTAATTCTTTGTTGCCATCTACCAGATGTCTGGATTTTGCAGCCCAGATGTGGTAGCCGTACCATGAAGCCTAAAATGAAGGGCAAACGGCTGTGGAGAAAAGGAAGTAGAGGGTAGTTGATTAACCTTCCTTGATCATGCTCTGATGCCCCCACTTCCCAGGATCCAAACCAGATGTGCTTAGGATTGCAATAAATATCTTGCATGTCAGTATTTCCCTGCTACATGTATATGAGTATTCCTCCCCGATGAGTTTACTAGGTCTTGAAGTAGTTCTGCCTTTCAATTTTTTTTAGTGGCATGGCTGTGTTTGCACAGCCAACCCCATTAACCTAGTATGTTGCATAAACTCAGCTACTGTAGTTAGTGAATGTTTCAGTGTGCTATGCAAACCAAAGCCATTGGGGTAATTTAATAAACCACGGTTAACTAAACTCAGGATTAGCACACATGGGCTTTCCCCTGTCTATCTTGTCCACTGCTTCAAAAGAACACTTTGAACCTGCTGGTGGGGGGTGGTTATGCTCCCCCTTGCCTTCTGGGGCCACCAGATCCAGGCTGCAAAAGTCTGCATGGCCACTAGATGGCATCAGAGCGTAGCATTTTCTATTTATTTTTGCTCCCACCTAGGAGTAGATGAGCTTTTTCAACCCAGCTCTACTAGTCTTACTTACTCTTTCAAACCTGACCTTGTATTGGTCCAAATCCACAAGGCACTGGAAAGGAAAGGCCCCAATTTACCATCATTACAAGGAGAGGCAGTCCTTGCACAGAATTTGCAGAAAGTCAACTCAAGTTCTTGGGTAGACTTTTCAGACTGGAGCTGTCCACTGAGTGAGCAACAGCAGCAAGAATCACGGGTCCTTAAATAAGCTGCTTTCCCAGAACTGTGTGGAACAGAGATGGAAGAGAAGAGTGGGTTTGCTTGGTGGCAGAGCCACAAGAATAAACACAAATAGAACGTCCTGCCTTGTGAGAGTGAATCTCAGAGAGATGAGGGGAAAAGAAAACTTTGAGAAGAGGGTCAGAATGGCTGGATCCTTCCTCTTCACTACAATATCTCAATTTTAATAGTACTTTTGCAATTCCTGTTAACCAGATTTGTGCAACAAGCCTTTAACTGAAAAACCAACAAGGAGGCTATCTGCAAAAGTGAATCTGGTCATGATAAAAGTTAATTTAGGGGAAAACAGATTGAATTGCAGAACCAGAAATAAAATTGCAGCAGAAACATTCAGAAGAACCTCCCTGGAGAAGTAAATCCTGATCAGAGTATGCTGCATGTTGAGTGTAGCTATTTGTGACAAAGGGGAAGTTAGAATAAGAGTTCTAGGCTTGTTTTTTGTTCCAAGTTAGCTATGGTTTGTAAACCATTTATGGCTTACAGTATCACATGAACACAGTTCTTTTATGAGTTACCTTTTGACATCAAGGTTGCTATTTTCATTTAAGGATTTGAGGCTAGGAAAACATGATTTTGAATGAGTTCATGATGAATTAAGCCTTGATTTGTTTAACGGTGGTTTACTTAATAAATCACAATTGTCTGAGTTCACATGTGTACAATCCACAGTGACTGGTGTCGTAAAACATATTAAGCCAGAACCAAAGAAACCATATTATGGCTTACCGCAATGCATAAACTGTGGAGTCCTTGGGGTTCTCTGAGCTTGGTTGTTTTCTTGCAAACGTTTCATTATCCGGCTAGGTAACATCTTCAGTGCTCTTTATTGGTACCACAATGCATAAAGCTGGTCATGGAGATGGTGTACTTACAAGAATCTACTTTTGTTAGTGGGGGGTTCGACTATTTAATTCCTAGTATTCCTTCCAAACTGAAACCTGTAGGACTGTATTAGATGACACATTCTCCCCAAACTAATTTTGGGGGCTCTCAGTTCTCTGAAGAGCCATGTGCCACTGTGGAAGTATGCTAATGCCACGTGCCGGACTGGGAAATGAAAAGGGCATGACTAGCTTCTTGGTCTGTGTTTTTAAGGCAATTAGTCTAATGGGGCCATGCTTACGAATACAGCCTGCCTCATTATCTCTGGCTAGCCTACAGCTCCTTTTGTAGGCTTCTAAGTGGTTGCCTGGTTCTGCAGACAGTTGTAGGTTTTGTTAGTCGAGGGGAAATGACAAAGCAGGTAGATGTCTCCCCTCGTCTCTAAGAGACGGTACACAAAAGGGTTCTTTGGTTCCTTTTCTTGACCCTATCTTGAGGGATGGTGGGGAAAGTTTTACTTTTGGGGTGGGGAGGGAGGACATAAACAGGAACAATGTGGCTGCATAACCTAGCCTTATAAAACAGCCGCCTCCTCCAGCATTCGATTAGAGCATTGCCCTGGAAGGTTATGTCACAAGCCCTCTTGTGGCCTTGAAGAGACCAAGACTATGGAGAGCCACAATATTAAGGTAATGGTCATGCCCCTTTCTAACTGGCAAAAAGCGTAAGGAGAGGGTGATGTTGGCTTTGAAATAGTAATTTGGGATGAAGAGATGCAAGCTGGAAAAACTTCTCAGAAATTGCTGAGGACTAACTTGGAGAGGAAGGGAAATTAACTGACTGATCTAATCTTACTATACAACTTGAAATTAAATCTGCAATGTATGTTGAAAATAACTTATTTCACCAGGCTTCGGTTTATATGGCAGACTGCAATCTTGCTGAGGGTCATAGAATGCCCCAGCAGACAGAATGCTATGAGACTCAAAAGTTTGAATCGATTTAAAATGGATGCCATGGATAATATAAACTCATACCATGCTTAGAAGTACCCAACTCCTCTTTGTGGCTCTTGATTTCAACCATGCTCTCATTGCTGGGTGGCATCAGAGCACTCAGAAGAATATGGAGAAGAAAAGCAATACTATTATCTCTGGTCAGACTAATTCAGAGAGCCTGGGTGGAAGAAATGTCCAGATTGGATAAATGCACATTGGGGGTGCTGATGTTGAGGTTGGATTAAATGGATGAAGAAGCTGAGTCAAGTAAGCATGATTCAGCAAAGACATACATTATGGGGGAGGATGCCCTTGATCAGGAATGTGCTGGGGAGCAGGGTTGCTAGCAGAAAAATAGAAATTATTCTGAGTGAAGGGACAGCAACAAATGTGCTTGAGTAGAGAGACAGAAGATGGAAAAGGAGACCAGTAAGAAGTGTCTGTCTTGATCTGGGCAAAAATACATCTGGATTAGGAGAGGGTGCTGAATAATAATCTTCCACACCAGACTTTATTTGAAGGACTCCTAAAATGAAGGTGCAAGTAAATGACTGGGAACCATTTATTGACTCGAAACCCTTTATGGATTGGAAACCCCTTATAGACTTTTGTGTAAAACAGGAAAAAAATGAACTTATGATTTATGGTTTTGATGATGAGACAGGATAGATAATAGAAAGAAGAGAGTTGTAACCATAGAGTAAGAGGTAAATTTATGATTGTACTTATAACTGCTGCAAAGAAGATTGGAAGCTACTTCTTTGTATCTTTTTTCTTTCTTTTCTACTTTTCTTTTACTTTTTTCCCTTCCTTGCACTTTTAGCTTTCTCTTTGATTTCTTTCTTCTTCTTTTCTTTTTTGTACTTTATATTAGTTTGTATTAGTTCCTTTTAAAAAAAAGTTAATAAAAATTATATGTGAAAATGAAGCCGCAAGTACTGCAGCAAATTCATGGGCAGAAAACTAAACAGTTCTGGCTGCCTGATCTCAGAAAGAAAATATCGGACCTGGGAAAGGGGCAGAAGAAAGAATCCCAAATGGTTGAGGAGAGGGTGGTGAGTGGAAAGTTTACAACAAGCGAGGCTTGCTAGTTTAGGAAAAAGGATGGTTAAGTTACAGGAGCATGGCAACGATTGATAAAATTATGCATGATGTGGGGGAAGTGAATAAGAGTTTTTTCTTCCTAAGACCAAAACTCAGTCATCTAAGGAAACTGATCTATACTGAAATGCAGGACAGACAAAAGAAAGAATTCCTTCTCATGGCATGTGCTTCATTCACAAGATGTGGTGAGGGCCAGCCCCTGACTTAGAGAGCTTTAAAGAGAGGATCAAACAAATTGATGGAGGCTATTGATAGCCACTAGTTTTGCCATTTATATGTAACCGCTGAAGAATGTGCCTCAACACACCATGTGCTGGAGAACACAAGCCAGAGGTATTACTGTTTTGGTATCCTACTCATGAGCTTGCTTGAGGCATCTCATTATCCATAGGAAATGGTTGAGGTCTACTGAATTGTTCCCAGTCATGGAGGAAAGGGTTATATCCCCATGCCCCTGTTAATACCATCTACATTTTGAAAAGCCTGCACCTAAAAGGCAAAAATGTGGCTTAGTTCCCAGAACACACACACGGTTAACCTACCCACATAGGTTCAGTTATCCCAATTCTCTGGGTTTTGCACTGTATAAAGTAACCCCACTGGCTACTTTGCATAATACTCCTGTTCTAACACTGATCAAAGAACTGGTAAGCAGCAAGGAAAAATTATGTGAGTTACCTTGAGGCTTGAAAAGAAGTTATTAGTGCAAGGACACCCAGAACAAGCAATTAAAGCCTCCTCCCTTTATATTTATTAATGTTAGAATAGCAAAAAAAACAACCACCCCGAACTAGTTATTAATCCAGATCTTTTTTCTGCTCCCACTCCTCAGTTCCTCCTATCTAGAAGTGTCCTTTTGCTACAATCTGAATGCATATTAATTTAACCAAATTAGGGATAATTGAAATGATGGCTGGAATTACAGTGCAGTATATCTGGAGGGCATTATAATTAGGAAAGCAACGTTATTACAATCTTATATTCTCTGGTTGCCTTGATGCATTTTTAAGTTCATCGTCCGAGCTCATTTCAGCTTGCGAGGGAAAATGGTATGCTTTAGCATAAAACATCCTTATTATTGACATAGGCTGGGTTCATATACAACATACTGCATCACAGACTAGCCAACCATCTTTTTATCCCAGCAAACCTGCTCTGTATGACAAATTCATGGTTTCGTGGGTTATGAGGACTCACCAGGTTAACTGAAGAATGCATGGGTCAGTTAACTACCTGCCAACTCAGACAGTCCTTAATAATAAGTCTCTATTGTTGTCCTTGGATAGCCCAAATGGCATCGTTCCACCTAAGAGGAAAAACAAAGGGTTGCAACATTTTCAAATGGTGTTTGTGGGGAAGGGGAATTCAAAGAAGCACAAATTAAACCAGGCATACTTTGGGGGCATGGAGTGCAAGTTGGCTGTTTGGGTTGATGGACAGAAAATTCCATCAGAGAGCAGAGGTAATGAATGGGAATGTCCGGAAGGAGGGCAAGGATGTCTGGCATACTGACCATTGTAGGTCCAGTTTGTATGACCTAGTTTTCATTATGGCAACATGCCAGGATTGTGTGAACAGTTTTTTTTTCTTATTAAAATGTATGACTTATTGGAGTTGATGCCTTCTTTTGCATATAGTACAGAGCCATTACACCCTAGCTATTTCTCACTTGCTTTTTCTGCACATCTTACATGCAGAGGTAACTGTGTTTCACTTATTACACTTGATACCTCAGATTTCTCTGAAATAATAATAAAAACAACAATAACAACAGCAATAATTTATTATATTTATGCGCCGCCCAACGTCCAGCAACTCTACATTCTCTTATTCAGGTATACGTTGTTTCCCTCTTCAGTTTAATTTTTTATGTGTCTCATATTTCCACTGATCCTTTGGACTAAAACCAGCCCAACCTGAATTCTCCAGAGACATTGGGACTGTGGTGCCTGAATTCCTAGCTAACATAACCCTTGGGGTCCCAATACATCCAATACATCCAGAGGACACTATGTTGTAGAAAACTATTCTGGACTTTTAATTTATATCCATTGCTTTGAAAAGCTTGTTACTTACTTCTAGTCACTCCTTGTTATAATATTTTGCACATCTGGCTAGTTTCAGATTTAGTTCTATTTAGAGTAAAACTATTATTTTCAATCTCTGAACAGCCAGTATTGGCATTCCTTCCTGGATCTCCAAATGGCCTGATCACTTTTCCTGCACTCTCTCCTCACATTCTCACCCATCAGTTTCTATCACCTAGTGAAAAAATATTTTCCTCTAGGTCAGATTCATTGAGAATGTTGTATGGTTTCCCTACAACACATCCCTGGTGATTTCATTATCCCCATTCTCTGGAGTACAACATGCAACTGTCACAAAGCTATAGAATCCTACTTCCATTTTTTTTTATCTGCACTCAGTCATTACTGACTCTGCAGTGACTGCTTTTGGACAAGTCCTTTTTGCAGTTTTCAAGGCAAGGTGTTTCAGAAGTGGTTTGCCAGAGCCTCCTTCCTAGAGCAGAGGCCAACTGGCGAGCGCGGGAGGCGGGGTTTCCATTGCTTCGCGCCTTTTTCAGGTGAGCGCGGCTTCCGCACTACCAGCAACTGCTCCCAACTCCTTTTGCAAGGCGCTGCCAGCATTTTTCCTCCCACTGGAGTGAGAGTACCCATTTATCTACTCACGTAAGTTTTTGAACTGTTGGGTTGACAGGAACTGGGGGAGGAAGCAGGAGCTCACCCTGCTGCGTGAAGGCTGGGCTCAAACGGCTGAAGTGTCGACCATTTCTGGCCGGCAACTTTCAGCGTGATTAAGCCACTGCGCCACCACGTCCCCCATCCTACTTCCATACACATCCACAATCAAGATGGCACTAATTCATACTTTCTGACATAATTTTAGCCCTTTTGTTTATAATTTAAATCCACATCTTCCCTTCCATACATATATTCAATCAACTTCACTCTACAGGATGAGACCACCTTCATTCAGTCTGTTACATCTTTCCCCTTTCTCTTAATTTCACAGTCACATAACACATCTATTTTTATTTCATTCATTTGCTAATCCATGTTCTTTTTAATTTATTCCTCTTATACTTTAAGTCTCAGTTTTCCATATAGCTTGGAAATTACCAGATGGACCTATAGACGTTGATCTCTAATGCTATTATAGCTTTGGTCAATCAAGGTTTTTGCACAAGAGAAACTTTTTAATAAGAGAAGGAAAGATTAGACTAGGTTACCAAACCTGGTTACACTTATGCCATTTGTAGTATTCCCTGCTAACAGCAAGGACAGGCGCTGACATTTGTAGCGTATTTTGGCCAGCATGCCATTAGCACAACCAGAGCCATGTTTTAGCCCAAGGGTGCTCATGTGATGCTGTGTACACTACAGCACTTCATTTAGACACTATCTTGCAAGCCGCTATACATGCAGTGTACAAGCACACTCTCGGGAGACACCAAATCCAACCCCATCCCCTACCAAGACTATTTTCTTCTCCACGGCTAGCACCCTTTCTACTAGGCAGAGCATGGTAGTAGTAATTTTCAGTATCATGAAAGGCTAGCTATTCCATTTATTATTAGAGATGCTTACAGGATTTTCTGCCTCAAGGGCCCTAAGACCTGCCTTGGATGCTATGCAGAGCTAATCATAATACCCAAGACTGCTCAAGTCACTTTATGAACTGGAGACAAAATCTCAGATGCCTCTCTTTCGGGGAATACAACTCTAATAATGGTAAAATAATGTAACCATTTGCTCACTTGCTATTCAGTACAAAATCAGCAGCTGGCATTAGACTAATGGTAGAAGAAATCTTATTTCAGGCAACCAAATGTCATGGGTCAGTGCTCGGTTAAAGCTGATGGCTTTGCTGTGACATCTCTCTGCAGATTTAAAAAATGCTACCTTGAAGGGGGTTGGATATCTGCCTCCTACCTAGTAAACTAAATTTGCCTTTCTTGCCCTCCCAGCTAAATTCCCTCATATCTTTGGTATTTACACTGTTCCAGAGACTGACTCCTGTTCATCCACTTATAACAGACTCTCAGGGTTTTGGTTCATGTATCACATCCAGCCATAATGAAGTTTTTTCTTTCTAACAATGTAATGTGTGAAGCCACCCACTGTGACTTATTCAACAAAGCATGCTTTAAAATAAACCACGGTTAAGTAGCATGAGCCCAGTTTATATTTTTCGTGATATTCATGAATCTCATGCCAGCCAAATATTGGTGATGTAAAACATAAGAATATCTTTTTAAGGCAGGAATGGGGAAGTTCCTTGTTGTGTTAACTATTTCTCTGTTGGAAGTTACATCTTCCATCCATGCCAGCCAGGCTTCTTAATGAGGCATGCTGGGAGTTGTAGTCCTGGAGTGCAACACTTTCCCCAACTTCGACCTATCCTTGAAATGGGCTCACTTATATCATGTCTTCACAGGTCCGGAGAGCCACCTCAGTTCTCCTGCTCCTGCTGTTGTGCTCCTCTGCTGTGGCCAACCGAGCTGTGCCAGACTGTTGCCGACAAAAAAGCTGTTCGTGCCATATCTTTGAGCTGCTGCATGGGATGGGCAACCACGCCGCCGGCATCCTGACCATCGGCAAGCGCAGCAGTGCCACAACTGCCAGGGGCTTCCAGAGCCGCCTGTACCACCTTTTGCATGGTTCTGATAACCAGGCTGCTGGGATTCTCACAATGGGCAAGAGAGCAAATGGGCTAGCCTTGCAGCTCAACAAGAATGTGCCCATAATCGCCCAGGTGGTGCCCACCCCATATGCTGCAGAGCCTGATCCAATCACAGGCTGCCTGACTTCCCAGAAGACCACTGCCCCAGATCACATTTACTAAGGAACTACAAATAAGGAAGTCCTTTCCAAGAGTTTGCACAAGTCCTTTCTGCTTTCTATCATCACTGCTGTTGGTTGCTATTTTACACCAGCCAGGTGCTAGGTGCTGTCCAAAGATAGCAGGGGTGCATTTCTTTCCTTCTATAAATAGCTCTTTCATTTATCTGTCACCACATTCTCTTCCAAATAAAGCCTCTTGTGTTTAATAACTGCTTTGTCAAGGATCTCTGTGAATTCAACCCAGAAATCCCTAGCTGGATCAACCAAAGATCCATCTCTACTGGCTTTCTATTTCTCAAGCCCTTTTAGACAGCCAACAGGACATACAGGACATGACTGGGTCCTAGATCTCTTTTCCCCCCTTCTGCCACTCAGAGCTGCATCACCTCTGCATAGGAAAGCTCAGATCTCTCGTTCTGTCTTCCATTACCGAGAGATGTGCTGCCTCTGATTGCCTATAACACTAGCAAATAAACCCTCTTCAGGCAAAACATCCAGGCAGAATTTCCTTAGCAATTTCCTTAGCAATCATGAACATTATATGCCCAGTGTGTGTGCCCACCCCAGTTTCTGTCAGACATGGTCCATGCTAAGGTGCCATTAAATTCCACTGTAGTTATCTCTGTGGTCCCAAATTGGCTGAATTCCACTGATCTATCTCTGCAATAACTGCTTCTGTCTGTCCAACACTGCCCGCCCAGGTGGATCTGTTGCTTTTGTATGATTTCACGGCGTTGGCAGCAGTTGGCAGCCAGAGGGCAGTGTTGGCCAAGAAAGCTGGCACCTCCAAATCTCTTTGTGTGCTAGATTCTTTTGTGTGCTGACAGATGCTTGACTGGCTGTCTAGGCAGTCGGATCTGAACTTATAATTCAAACTGCGTAAGAGCTCTTTGTGGTTAGCACAAAGTTTGCTCATGCTCAGGAACATTTTTCCTATCTGGGGTTTCCTCATTGTGCAGAATCCTAGCACAAATTAAGCTAACCTTGATTTGAATCTAAATAGTTCCCCTTAGAACGTTCTTTCTTTTTTCATCTTCACTTTTTACAAATTGGGCAGTAGTTGGTTTCTAACCAGCATTAAACTGCAGTTCAGTCCAACAGCATCCTCTATGTGGACAGCAGGCACATAATCCCCAGATTCATTAGGGCCAGCAGTCAGTTACACTACTGCTGAACTGAGCGGTCTGTAGTCCGTAGCATGGGGTGCTCAACCCAATTTTATAGCACCTTTGGGCCAATTTTGTGAAGGTGGGGCGGGAAGCCCAGAGGGATGAAAATATCTGGAAAACAGGCATTTGAAATAGAAAGACCTCTCCAAATGGTCAATTTCGACTTTTTGAAAAGGAGGATTTGTTTGGGTTATATATGGATGCAGGGATTGTGTTTGTTAGCCTGGGTTTAGGCATCAGCACTCAGTGAGACCCTTCTTCTTTAGCATAAACTAATCACAGGGCCAGAGCTTACACACAACGCTTTAGACCAAAAGATTGTAGCATGTTTATGGTTCCCTGAGTTCCCAGATCATAATTTCAGAGAAAGGAGAGAGAGAGAGAAAGGGACTTCTTCGTGGTGCTGCAAACCTGGTTGTGAAAATTCAGCACCTAAAAATAAAATAAAAATCTTCCATTTTCTTTCTTTGCAAACCGAAATGGGACCTAACTTACATTCTTTGATGGGTGATGGCATGAGTATGTGGTTGTGTTCACAGAACAAATAGGTCACTTACAAATCTAGAAAGTGTATTCCCACAACATATGAAGCTTATCTTCCTTTGAGGCTTATCCTATTGTGTGAACCCAGCCCCTTTGGTTAGTTTATTGTAAAAACCCAGAAAATCGGTTAATTCAGTAACCAGGTTAAGTCTACCACGTGAGCACACAGCCAGTGGGTCTATTGTTTCTCATGCTGCCTTTTATTTCTTCTTTTGCGGTTATCCAAAGAAGGGGGAAAGAAGAGATGTCCTCGATTAATCACCCGGTGCCCGCCCTTCTGGCTGCGAGGGCAAGGCCACTCCGCCCGTGGTCTCCGCGTTGTTTGCACGCGGCGCACCGAGCGAAGCGCTTGAGAAGCCAGCCGCTCGTGGGAACGCGCGCGAGCGAGAGCAGGCGCTGAGATCTGGGCGGGATCCCTCCGGATCCCTCCCCAGCCCCGCCGTCCGCGCCAGCCCGCTAATTGCACGGCTGGGATTAGCGGGGAGGGAAAGGACAGCCGGGAGGGAGGGAGGGAGGG